TCACTTTGGAGTTCAAATATCACAGTTAATAGTAAGCACATATCTTATTAAAAACAAAACAAAACAACAACAACAAAAAAACCCACATCTGTTTAGGGCTTGGCTGTCATTTGATGGTCAGATATCCAGTTAGAGCCTATGTTATAACAGTTCCTCTCTGCTGCCTGTCCATAATGCTTCTGCAGCAATTGGCTAGAGACAGATATATTTCCAGATGAGCAATCATTTTCCAACTCAGCTTTCATCTGAATTTAGCCCTCCCTTTGTTAACCTGCCTGAGGGTCAATACTTGTTCACTTAAAAGGTCTATTTTGTAACTTAGTGCAGATTCCACTATTACCAGTGGTTCCGACCTTTTACTTGTCAGATCCTCTTCCGTTTTGTTTGTAACTAAAAACAAAACAGAAAACCTGTTCTACTCATAAGTAATGGTCATGGTCATGTGTACACAGCCTAACTTGAAAGTGCGCCCAAAGTGGATGGCTCAGCTCTGGCTGTACTAGTCTTTGCCAGGGGGAGAGAAAACTGTAAGTCAGAACACATCTTCATCCTCTATGGGCAGGAGAGAAATTGAATGAGACTTTTTGTCCTTTATCCCATCTTGTGATTGACCTCTTTCTTCAATTCTTCTCCTACCATTTATTTTTATCTAAAGCTGCTGTTGTTCTTCCACAGAAAAGCTCAACACCTTTCAGAGCTGTCAGCTGCAGTGGTACAGCATGCTGCACACAAAGGTTCTACCTTTCACGTTACATCTGCTGCATCCTATTTTACACAGCACCCCCCTGAAGACCAACTTCAATTTGTATGCATTGTGCTGGGTGTACAGAAGTAGCTTGGTAAGGAGTTTAGAGAGGTCCAACAAGGAACAACTCCTTCTGTTCCCCTTACAAAGAAATGAATGTATGAATTCCTGTATGCTCTTGCAAAGTACTGTATCACTTTCAAGCTCAGTGCACATAATAGACAACACAAGCTGTGGGAATTTCTATGTGAGAAGTGAGTTCATCGTCATGCCTTAGCACTGATCAGGAGTAATATTATAATCTGTTCTCTTGAGCTGGTCTCAGGACCAGAACTAGTGATGGTTTCACAGAAAAGAGCGTGATAGCCCTGCCTGACCTTAGAAGAAGGACAAGATCACAAGCAACTTCAATTCAAGCCAAGCTGATGACAATAATGCTTCTTCAGAAAAGATGTTTTGCATCCTGCTCTGCAGAACAACAAGTGTGTTCATAAGAACGGCAGAAACACCTGTATACAACTATGTTTCTCCACTGGTTGGTACTGCTACCACCCCTCAGCAGTTTTGTTCAGCCTTGTCTCTAAACATTCACGAGGATCCCTAACGTGTCAATCATGTGAACCTCAGAAAAACAGTTCATTGATGTTTAGCTCTGCTTTAGTTATGTATTTTAACTTTTCAGGCCACAAGGTCTTAACTGAAGCTAATTCAGTCTCTGAGGCTACATTCATACTAGAAAATTATCAGAGCCAGGGTACAAGCATTAGCACAAATGGCATTGCTGACTGCTGAATTACTCCCTGGCATAGTTCTGGCTCATGTCACTGGATTTGCGGTATGTAGCTGGGGACAATATGTTCCAATCACTACTCTGGGAACACAAAGGTTTAATTACACTAACAGGTACTTAACCATTGTGTCTGGCTTCAGGGCTAACTGGAGTTTTCACTCAACAAAAAGCCTGCAGTGAACATACTTATCTGATATTCATGGGACAAACAGCAATACCTGTTTATGTAAGTTTCAGACCTGTGAGAAATAAAGGGTCCTGTTATGGAGATACAACTGATAACTACTACCAAGGTGTACAAGACTAACAATGCAACATATTTACCCACGTCCTTTATTCCAGCTCCTGTTGGATCAGGTAGCATGTTAATGCATGTGCACGTTGGGTTTAATCACAGATCACAGAACAATTTTTGTACTATTTTCTATTATTTGTCCCTTTTAAAAACTAGTTATATTTTAATGTTCTACGTAGATCCTTAGTGTTTTGGGGTGTTTGTTTTTCATTACAGCGCCTTTCATATAATCTCAACTATTTCACTTTCCACCTTAATAATTCTTGACAGAAATGAAACTAGTACTATCTCCCTGTGGGTGCTGTTTATTTTGCATAACGTGTCTAAATACCACATAATAGTAGAGGCAAAAAATAATCCTGTGTTTAATTTGCAGATATTCCCTGTATAACTACTTGATTTACTCAATTCAGTAAGCAAGTCTTAAAATTAGGTTTAACAACTTTGGATGACCTGAACAGATCAATCCCAATGGAGCAATGGAGCCATCCTGATCGTTTAAATTTCTCAAGCTTTCGTTCGTATTTTGCTTTTTTCTTTTTTCCTAACTGCTCCAATCTTGTACAGCAAAAAGGTCCTACCTAGACCACCTTCACTGCGCTAGAGGCAGTGATGCTCATACAAAGGAATCGGAACACAAATAATATAAAAGACTAGCTGGGTACAGAAGTAATAGTGGAAGAAAGATGACAGAAGAACACAGGGATCAATCTAAGAAGAAAAAGAGGGACTGATCTTCATGGCCAGTGACCTTCCCACATGAACAAGATCTGATCCTCTACCAGAACTCTTTTAAGGTCAAGAGGCCCTTGGCAGGAAAAGGAGCTATTACTATTTTTCTATATCCACAAATTGAACTTAAGTAGCTTCATAGTTGCTGCTTCTGCCCTGGGCTTACTTTGGCTCTTCAGTCTGACACGGTACCCAAGGTTACAGCTGGTTAGCTAAGAATCAGGACAGAGTGTGACTTGACTGCAGATATTTCATGTGGGTATAGGTCTTTGCATAGTGTGTGTTATGAAAGAACAGTAAGGCCTGTTGAAAATAATTTGCGCTGGGAGTGATCATCACTTGAAAGTGACGTGAAACCATCTTGGTGAGCTGTCAAATGCAAGCTACTGACCTAGCCAAACATTGCTCAGGATGCCAATTCACTGTTTTCCCTAAGACTGAACTGGAAGCCCTCAAAGAGATCCTTCACTTACTCATTGTTTCCTGTTCCGTTTTCGTTCAGAAAGATTTTTTGTGGTCCACACGTAATTCAGATGGCCTGTGGTAACAAAGCAAACAGTGGGTGCTTTTCCAAGTATAACATAACTTCCTTAAGCTATAGTTTTAGTGTTTTATGATTTTAAAAGATGCCTCAGTATTTCTTACTGCTGCTAGCATATTACTAGGATTAATCCCTTGCACATTTCTATATATGGATAACTAAGAACATGCTTGCGTGGTGATGTCAACTTCAGTAACTCCTTACAGCATGCGTTTGTATTGAATCCAGATGTTCAGTCTAACATACTGTCACTGAAACAGTATTTGAGAGAGAAAAATCAAGTAGGTTCTGTTTGTATGTAACAGTGATCATTGCTGGGAGAGAAAGGGAAAAAGACTGAATTAACAGTTACTTAGTTCACTTTGAACCGTTACATTATCAGGATTTTTATCCAGGTGAACTGTACTGCAGGAGAAATAAGACTTTTTACAATGGATCTGTTGGCAGAACAACTGCAAATAGGAAGAAGAAAGCAGATTGCTGTGATGTGGAATTGAGTGTGGTTCTGAAGAGCGTGTAAGTTTTTGTCCAGAACCTGGACCTGGCAAGACATCACCTGGCAGAGACAGTACATAAAGCTTGCAAAAATTTGTCAAAAACAGTGACTACAGGAAGCAAGTAAAAAAGCACCTGTGACTTGTGTTGGCTTGTCCTATGTTACACAGCAAGAGAGCCTAGCAACAAAGGTAGTATAAAAACTTCTATTGAATTGTGAGACCTTGCAATGATTCGGGATCTGAACACAAAAGCTGGATGCAGGAGCCTAGCACCAAGGAGGCAGGAAAAGGTAAACTTCCAGAGGGAGCAGGCAACCACCGAGACAGTGGTTATGTGATCAGAAGAAGGGACGAAGTGGGTCTGTCTCTTTTCCCATCACATAATAAACATCCCCAGCTGGTAAAGCTGGGGATAAAAGCAACAACCCCAGGCAGATCCTAGCTGCCACAGCTTTTAACCAGAATTTCGGACAGTTTGTTGGATCACGCAGGTTTGCTTCTGACTCCCAAACAATTCCTGCACTTACACGGGGTGAGCAAACAGACGGTGAAATAGCGACGGAGCTGCACACCGCCACCAGCACTGCTTTATCTCCACAAAGAAACCATGTGTGCGGGCTCTACTCTAAGACTCCGTCCTTTAGCGAGACCCATGCTTTCCTTCTGAACTGCTAACAGGCCGCAGAACCAGCAGCACAAACAAACGCGAAGCCGTCTCGTAGGTCCGCCAGGTGAGCGGACCAGCGAACGCTGAGTGCTACAGCTGCTCCCGGCTCCACGACGCCGCTCGGGAAAAGCATCACGGCGATGAAGCCTCTCCCAGTTCGCGTCCCACCCGCACTCTGCACAGAGGAATCCCTCACGCGTCGTTGTTGTTTTTTTTCCCCGCTCTCTTAAAAGAACCCGCGAGCCGCTCAACTCCTGCGCGCATCTCCTTCCGACGGAGTCAACCGCGGCCTCTCGGGAGCGCTGTCCGAGCCGGGAACGCGCCTCGGTCGCTCGCCTTGGTGGCTTCCAGCCGCTCCTTCTCAGAAAGGCGACGATTCCCGCGCAGGGAGCTGCTCGAGGCTCCGCGTGTGCGGAAAGCTCGCTTCCCGCCGGGAGTTCTCTCCGGCCGAGAGAGAGAGCGACTGCGGTTCCCGGCTCCGGCCCCACAACCAGTAACCCCGCCCGGCCGCCGGCCTCAGGCAGCGCTTTGCAGCCACCCGTCGTCGTCGGGGCGCCCCCCGGCCGCCGCGAGGGCGGAGCGGGGCGGGGCGGCCAATCAGGGAGCGCCCCCGCAGCGGTTACGCCGGCGGCGCGAGGGGAGGCGCGAGCGCGTCGATGTTTCTCTCTCCGGCGGGAGGGGGGAGGTGCGGCGCAGGGGGCGCGGGGCGGATTTGTCGCGCGGGAGCGCGCGCGCCGGGTGTGCGTGTTGAGGAGCGGAGCATGGCCGGACGGGGCGCTCGGCGGGCACGGGCCGCGCTGCGCCTGCTGGTAGCCGCGCTCCTGCTGCCCGGGGCGACCGGTAAGCGAGTGTGTGCGCGCGTGCCTACGGGCGAGCGGGGGAGTCGGGGGGGAGGGGAGAGCGAACGATCGGCGCCCGTGGCGGGGGGAGGAGAGCGGCGGCGGAGGCGGCGGCCCGCGGGTCCACGTCGGTTCCTTTCAACAACATGGCGGAGGGGCCGGCTAGGGCGGAGTCGCCGCCTCCCCCGGCGTCCGAGCCCCGCGGGGCCCGCGCCCCGCTCGTCCCTTTGTCGACCGAACGCGGTGCCTCGGATCCGAGGGAGGGGTGGCCGCGCTGTCGCGAGGCGCCCGCCGCCGTTCTGCCCGGCCCGGCGGGACTCCGGGGTTCGGCGCGGTGGAGCGATCCTCGTGTCGGAAGAACCGCGGAGGAGCTCTGTCGGAAAACTCGCCTGCTGCCGCGGGTGCCGCCGTCGCTGTCGTCGGACCGGGCGACCTGCGAGTCCTGCGGGCGTCCCGAGGGTGCTGGCGGGCGGCGTGGCGGGCTGGGGCGGGCTGCGAGCACCGCTGTGGAGCTGCGCTTCAATCGTGATTAGACGACGGTAACACGCGTACAAAAGCTGCTGTTTGAAGTCAGTTCCTGAATTCTAACGAGTCTTCTCATGAGTTGTGTTTTGCGTTGGGTTTTGCAGAGGAAGGGGTGATGCACCGCAACTTTATTCAAGCTTTAAGGCGTCTGGGGTTTCTACAGCTCGCTTTAAGGTGGTGCTTATAGAGGAGAGGAAGTATTTCTTAAAGCAAAGCAATTTGCTAAACTAAATGCTGCCTTGTCACCATTCGTACTACAGAAGGTGGAGCACCTTTGATATAGGAACAGTGAAGTAAGCTTAAGTTACCCGTTGTTTTATTTTCTTGTGTATTAGGAAAGGTGCAGCAGGCTTTAATAATTGATAACTTTTGTGTGTAACATCCAGTCTAGATGAAGGACATTTTGACTTGATTTGAGTTCTGAACCATTCTTTTCCCTTTTGATGCTTCTAATCTGTCAAGAATTCCCATTGACCGTGTGAAAATAAGGTAATGAGTTTCCATACAAAACCCGAAGGTTGGAGGTGGCAGTGTTAGTTCTCTTTGTTTTGGTTCTGTTGCTTTAAAAAAAGGAAGGGGTAGCGGGAAGAGATGCGAGTCCTATTCAAGGCAACAGGAGCTCCAGGGCTCTTTATCCGTAGCTCATACACAAGCCTTCTGCTGCTGAAGGGATGAATTTGCTCACTCACCATGGTGTAAGTTAGCAAAGAAGATGATATAAGAATGCTAAGTAACAGTGGGCAAATCGTATGACCTACTTTGATGAAAGTTAAGCGTTTGGTGATGCTTTTGTTTTGCAGTGCGCTGGTGTTATTGTGCAGGTGAATACTTTCCTGTTGTTTAGATGAAGATCAGACACGTCATGAATCACAATGGCCAGCTGAACTACTGTTCAGATAGTTCTGATCTGTGAAAACATGACTAATCTGCAGCCTGTGAAAACATGAATCAACTGAGTGAGCCGAAATTGTCTTTAATCTTTCAGAAGTTCTGCCACAGTCCTGCTGCAAACTTGTATTCATGCAGTTAGTCCTTAAAAAAAAAAATAGAAATCTGATTTGTATGCTGAAGTATATTTAACAGTACAAACGAAAGCTTTCCTTTCTTTCATATAGTAAAACTAAAAGGTAAATAAAGGTTTTAATTTAAACTTCCTTTGATTTTTCTAAACCATGCTTTTCTATGGAAGATAACCTAAACTCTTTTTATATATTTTGCTGTAAGAGGGATGAGTGGATGAGTTGTTTAACAGCTATTACTGTTCTTTCCCTGCATCAGAGAGCAGAATGCTGCTTCATTGAAGCTAGGATTTTTTGTTGTAAGGCTTTATTGTTACCTGCAAGTTCTAGGTAGTGCCTCAGTGAAGTAGTTTGTCTGCTTGCTTGAGTGCATCACTGGTTGCCAAGAACTGTTGTTTTCTTTGAAAGCTTTGCTTACATGCATGTAAAAGCTGTCCTGATAACTTGATAACCAGTGCCTTCACCTTACAGCATTTAACCTGATTAGTGCCTTTGTGAGAATAATAGCTTTGCAGTCAACCAGAAGTATCATGGTTGAAAAATGTCTCAGCTGTATTTCAGATATTGTACCTAAACAGTTTTGTATGTTCAGCGTGAAAGAGTTCAGAGGTAAGTCAAGTGTACTGTCTGAGGGAAGTGTATGAATAGGAGTATAGGAATCTGGCATCGCTTGTCGGAGTTACATTTTTGCTTTTGACAGACGGAATTTATTGGAGAGGGGAAGAAGCTAACAGCAAATGCTGCTGCTCGCTTGGTTGTCTCCCCCAAGATCTTTTGCTGTCTCTGATATACCGTAGCCTTGCTCCTTTCTCCACACAGCCGTTACAGCTTACGGAACCAGAGTGCTGATTTCTTTTTCTTCTGGTGGTAGTTTTTCTACTTAGAGTTTGCGTTGGTGGTGGTGGTTTTACAAGATGTCACTTGTATTTTCTATGGAAGAAGAGATGATACAATGACAGGAAAGATCTGGAGTTTCTTGTTCAGCATAATGCTCCTCGTGGGGCCTGAAGTCACGTCTCTACTGATTTGACTTTTTGAAATTACTGAAAGATAGTTGAGAAAACTATGGATACTATGAAACTGGCATTGAGATGTGATGTGCTCTAAAAAGTGAAGGCACAAGCTTTGTCTACTTTTTAATACTTTGTTAGCATGGTTTGAAAGAGCATGTGAATTTCAGCAGAAGTTCTTTGCTTGAAGGTGATCTGTGCTGAACTCTGTGGATGAAATAGTTCTGCAGGACATGAACAGATAATACACAGAGATTCATAGGCTTTTATGTAATTTCAAAGTAAAGATTTAATGTGATTTTGTCACTTTCAAGAATACAACAAATACTTGAAAAATCTCTTCAAACTGAAGCAAACAGGCTATATTTAATTATCTTCTGGTCAGGTTTTGTACATAGTATAAATAATGGAGCTCTTCTTGACAAGCTGTGTAGTTTCTATCTTATTTACGTTCCCAACTCATCTGCACTGTGGGCTTTGTGCTAATTGTTGCATGCACACACTGTTGTAACTTTTACATAGTAAAATTATGCATTGCAAACAACTGGCAAATGTATGGCAGTTGAGGTGGAATCTTTCCACCAGTATTGCATTGCGTTTTGTTGCTGTGCAACAGAGAGCAGTAGAGGGGTTGTCTGACTAAATGCAACTGATATGGAGGTGCAGATGAAGCAAAGGTAATTGAATTCCTCCATGCTGAAAAACATTGCACCCTTTGACATTCATGGATGTTACTGAATGTTCATGGAGACCAGAAAATGGATGTGAGCACAGTGAGGTGGTGGATGGTGCTTGTGTAGGAAGCCATATGGCTTTTTGTGAAGCGTGCTTGTCTTGATAACAGACTAAAAGATAATGGTGTCAATCTGGGACAAAAGTATAAACTGTAGAATAAAATCACACTGGGAGCTGTAACAAAGCAGAGGTGGGTGAGCCACTTAATAAATGCTTCAGTGTGAGTGGGATTAGTGTATCTTTAAAGTCGTGTTGATCAGGGAGATAGGTAAACATTATGTCTGTTTTCTCACTTTGTGTAACTTATCCTTTGTACCATGACCTAGTGTAAATACACAAATCACTGCAGGTCTGTTACTGTAGGCATTCAGATGCATCTGCAGTTCTGTTGAGGCAGGATGATGGTTTAATTAGGGAAAGTATTGGATGAAGCACGTCAGATAAAGGCCTGCAAGTTTTTGGTTCTTTGTGTGTTGTTAAATAAAGCTATGTTCTGAAAACCTCATGGGGAAAAAAAGAAATACTAATTTGTGAATGTTGTAGAAATCAGTGGATTCAAAAATAATTTGCTGAGGTGTAATCAAGTTATTTTCCTGTTGATGTGCCTTTGGTAAATGTTTCATAGTTCAACTCTGAACAGTAAGAATTTCCATACTTCTTTGAGAATGGAAAACATTGCATCTTGGTTTGGTTGAAAATGATGCAGTCAGAAGATGTCAGAGAAGGGGTACGACTTAGAGTCAAGAATTTGAGATCAGACTGTCTTTTCACATTCTTTTGTCCATTCAGTGTTATGCAAGAGTAGAGAAAAGTGGAAAATCCAAGGCGGTTCAGGCAGTGGTTATCTTAAACTCAGTGAAGTAACCAGAGTTGCAGCGAAAAAACAAGTACTGTGTTTCAGGGCATCTTCTGCTCTACTCTCCTTAATATCCATTCGATGTGAGATTTTTGTACCCTTTAAGGAGAATTGCTTATGGTTTATGCGTTTTTTGTGTTGGTCACTGGTGATATGGTATTTGTCGAAGTCCCTGCATTTTGGCCTTCACGTGCACTGGCCATTTCTGTGCTAGCTGTAGTTGAGAAGTAAGCACAGCTCAGTGCACGTGTGCACAGATGATTCCTTTCCTCCTTAGTCTACTGTTTGTTCACTTCTGCAATAGCAATAGCATATTCTCACTTCTGTTTCAAGACCATCATGCAGCTTTTCCTGCACTCGCATGAACAAGCAGAGTCAGTGTATTGGTACCTTTACTTCTATGGCACTGTTTTCTGGCTTTGGCACTGTGTATATGGAAAGGAGTGGAGAAAGTAGTTTGTAGTAACAGATTTCCCAGGAATTTTTTCAATTTAAAAAATGAAACCAAATCTTCACATCTTGTATGTGATTAATCTGCTGCATTGTCCCTGCCCTCACATTTCTAGCTCACTTGATAGCTGTAGTAAACTTCAGTATGTTAATGCATTGTTTTCTTGCATTTTCATAAAAAAAAAAAAAGTCTGTCATATGCTGCTTGTGTGAAATGATATGTTCTTAGGTAGTTTGGAGGTTGTTTAGGATTTGGGTTTTGTTGTTTGCTTTAATGAGGGTTAAGCATCTATATGTTCTTTCCTCAACAGAAAAATAAAGCTATAATGTGAAATATAAAGTACTAATCTACTTAGGTAGCCAGCAGCATCCTGTTTTTTAGTTACTGAAACTGCTCTGTTGGCTGTTAGAACAAAAACAAAAGGCACTGTTTGTATTGCTCTTGAAAAAGAGCACTTATGCAGTTATCTTTAGAAGGTAGTGTTATAAAATATACCTGACTTTAGAGTGGGAAATAACGGGATTCCTCTACCTGGAGAAACATCTTGCGTGGCAGACTACCTCCATAGTTGCATAAGGAGAGGTGACTGTGTTTGACATTCTTTCACATGTGTATCTCCTGGTTCTGTTGTCCCACTAAAAAACCTCACAGCATTTTTCTTCAGGATGAAGTTTCTTCCGTAGTTGTGGTTGCTTTGTGATTCCAAATGGGTGCCAAGACTAACATTTGTTTTTTTCCTCAATACAGCATTACAGTGTTACTGCCATCTATGCACAAAAGACAACTTTACCTGTGTGACAGATGGGCTTTGTTTTACCTCAGTAACGCGGATTGCAGATAGGGTCATTCACAACAGCATGTGTATAGCAGAAATCGATCTGATTCCCCGGGACAGACCGTTTGTTTGTGCACCATCCTCCAGAGATGGAGTTACTACTTTGCCTCATTGCTGTGACAAAGACCACTGCAATAAAATAGAACTTCCAATTCCAACTCCAGGTAATAGTTTTTGATGTGTTTGTTATTTATTTTTAGCAATGGAGAATTTGGAAAGAGTTCTAGTTTTGAAGTTGCTGATGAACTTGAAGGTCTGAGGTATACCCTGGATTCTGTAAGTAAAACTTCAAGGGTTCTGGAATAAGACCTTCCTATTCTGGATAGGAACAGTGGGGCCAGTTTCAAAGGCTTCAATGCAAGTTGAATGTAAACTGAATTTGCAAGATGATCAGACACTGGAACAGGCTCACCCACAGCACAGTAATCTTGACAGAGAGCATGCTGGAGTTCACAAGGCGTTTGGACAATGCTCTCACGTGTAGTGTTCGAATTTTGGGTGGTCATGTGTAGGAGCCATGAGTTGGGCTTGAAGATCTTGTAGATCCCTTCCAACTCTGGGTGTTCTTTAAAGTAGTTACTTTTGTCCATTGTAATTTTGTGTGTGTGTGTGTGTGTGTGTGTGCAGTAACTTTGTGAAGAACAGTTCTTAAGAAATGTAATTCAAATATCATTAAGTAAATAAACTGGATGTATTTCATGATGTTACATAGAAGGAAATGGTGAAACTACCTTATTTGTGTACCACCAGGTCCTACTCCAGGAAGACCAGCTTCTAGTCTGGGACCTGTGGAACTGGCAGCTGTTATTGCTGGACCTGTCTGCTTTGTCTGCATTTCATTGATGCTGATTCTGTATCTTTGTCATAACCGTACTGTAATTCATCACCGTGTGCCAAGTGAAGAAGATCCTTCATTGGATCGTCCCTTTATATCTGAAGGAACTACTTTAAAGGATTTAATTTATGATATGACAACTTCAGGCTCTGGGTCAGGTAATGTCATACTATGTAATAACCTGTTAAAAAGCTTCCTAAGAGCTTTGTGATCTTTATTTTTTTAAAAAAAATATCAAATGTACTTTAACTTCCAAGAAACTGGAAAAGGTATTAGAAAATATGCTGATTTCATATAGATTCATTTGGTATCAGAACTGATTCCAGTACTGAGAAATAAGTGAAGTAAAATCATGCTGAGTTGCTGATACTAATTCTCTTCAATCTGATGTGGAGCAGGAATGTTGTACATTCAGTTGTTGTTTCTACTATTAATAAGGGTCCAGTCGTATATGTTTTGTTCTGCACAACATGATTAAATTCCAATCTCTTGCATTTCTGAAGTAATTTGTGGAATTGTTTCTTTTAGCTTTACACTAAAAAATTTATATAGCTATAGGTATATGATGAATATTCTGAGTTGTAAGTGCAAATTAATATTTTAATCCATTCTCCCCTCGGAGAAGATGTCAGTTACAAATAACTGCATACTGTGTCCAAAGAACTTCTATCCCTTGACTTCATAATTCTTTCTTTTTTTTCTTTAAATTCTGACTTCAATAGGTATTCCTCTGGGAGGATGAGGTAGAAGTCTTGTTTACTGCATGTAGTTTTTGCTATAGTTCTGACATAGTTTTCAATGGCATTATATTGGTTTGTCATATAAATATGGCTTAGTAAGCATCGATACGGGATGATACATCACACAAGTCATAGCACAGATTAATTCTCTGATCCATGTTAAGTTACTTATATCCTGTGGGAGTGAGGTATCACGTCAATTTCTCATCAGCTTTTTACTATGTGGAAATGAAAATTGATCCTTCTACTAATAGATGTATGTGCTGAAATGTGTGTACGCTTTCATGGTGCTGTTTTCTTCCAGTGAATGTTTGTATTTGATTATTTGTTTCTGAATCCTTCAGTCCCACAGAAGTAGGAAAAGAAACATAACAGAAACAAACTAAAAACCTAGTCTGTAGTTCTTTACTGATGACAGTAGCTGGTGAAAACTATTCAGAGTCCACTGCTCTGTCAAATCAATATAAAATCAACGTAATTTGCTGCACGTGTTCAGAATGTAGATTAAAGTAAGTAGTCTTTTGGTTACATTTTCATTGAGGTTATACTAAGTGTAAACAATTAAGTTTCAGTTGAGAGTTTTTTGAGTGTTCAAATATGACTTGGTCATGACAGAGTAAATTGATTTCAGGAGAGCTGGAGCTGCAGCAGTTCAGGTGTATATCAGTTGTCTCATTCATTAACAAAAATACTAAATTCAGGTAATGAAACTGATTAATAAAACATATTGAGGTACAGTATGATAAATGCAGTTTCTGAACATGGTCTTCCAGTTACGTTCTTTCTTGTAGGGGTGTACAGAGGAGTTTTAATAAAGAATGAGAATCTGAGACTTACAGGAAGAGTAGGGGGTTGGGTTTCTTTTGTGTTTTTTTGAGGGGCAGGGCGGTGAGGAGTGAAAATAGTGGGAGTGTTAAAAACATCAAGCCAGGGGAATTTTCAGAACAGTCGTGCCTGGTCTGGAGTCCCAGAACATCCTAAACCTACTGTTGTTTTTGAGCATTGCCTCTGTTGGCTGCATCAGAAGAAGAAAAACAGCAAATAAGGTTGAGTTTGAGTTACTGCTAAGGAAAACTAATCTGTTCTGTGTCTGAAAGACAAAACCATATTCTCTGTAAAACAAGGAGAGTGTTTTTTAACTTTCATACACAGTCCAACTTGAGCCACAGTGAAATCCATGTTACTCTGCTGTTATTCAAGCTGTTCAAGCATTAGCATTGTTGTTCTATGGTGTTCTGTTGCACTTAAGTTCTGTACTTCTTTTGCTATGGGAGTACAATGTGAAGTGTTTTTTTTCCTCTGCTGTTAGTAGTATGTGTATTTTCCATGACATACCCTTTTGTCCCCACATTTGTCAGTCTTTCTAAAGACTTTCTAAATTATCATCCTTTTGTGCTCCACTACTTAAATGATAATTTCAGTGTCCTGAAATGCCTGCAACGACTTGAATCTAGGTTTTCATTCTGCACGGTTATAAATTTTCACTTTTGAAATAAACTGGGAGTGGGAATGGAGGTGCTGAAGGAGAAAAAGTCAGAGCTCCTAATGAAAGTAGTTTGGGCATAAAAGCACTAGTTAATCAGCGCAGAGCACGGCCCAGAAAGTGATCCTGCAAATGGACCGAAAGCACTGGTAGTCAAGTAAAAAGGATTCCCTCAATTTTGTATTACGGTATTCTCTGATAATAAGCACATCAAAGCTCTGAAAGTGAGCTCAGATATGAAGGGAATTAGGATTTATTGTCTGTGGTGGTGACACAAAACTGTTATTAAAGGCAGTAGTGCTAAACCTAAAACGATTAGAGGTTTGATGAAAGAAATTCATAAAACATTCAAAGTAGAAGCTAAGACTTCAACAGAAGGATCTCAGGGAAGAATTTTGAGGTCTTTTGGAGCTGTGAGTGATTTGTAGATCATGATGTAAATCTCTGAAATAATGACGTTTTACGTAGGTTGGAATGTGCAGCTGTTACTCTCCAACTTAGAAGTGTCCAAGGCAACTTGCACGCAAGGAAGCAGAATCATATAAAACCATAGAGAAGCTTCTGTTGCTAGTAGGTGAGTTCAAACAGGAACCTGAAGCATTTAAAAGACAGAATATCACAAAGTCAGTGTCAACCTGAGTCAGTTGAACTTGGTGTAAAGCTACTTCAACTTAGTAACATTTCATAGAGGATTGAAGAGAATGAGACTTCACCAGTTCGTGGGGTTTTAGGAAAGGTCTTCTAGGACAGAATCTTACAAGGTAAATTCAGCATTGTGTTAAAGTGTTTGAGAGTATGAACAAAAATGTGATGTAGTGAGTCTAGAGGAGGGCCATGAAGATGGTCAGAGATCTGGAGCACCTGTACTTGAAGACAGGCTGAGAGAGTTGGTATTGATGAGTCTTGGGAAGAGAAGGCTTCCAGTACCTGAAGGAGGCCTGCAGGGAAGATGGGAAGGGAATTTTTATTAGGTGATGTAGTGACAAGATGTGAGGTAATAGCTTTGAAGTAAAAGAGGGTAGGCTAAGGTCACATATTCCAAAGAAATTTTTCACTATGAGGATGGCAAGGCTCTGGAACAGATTGCCTAGAGAAACTATGAATACCCCATCCCTGCAAGTGTTCAAGGCCAGGTTTCTTGGGACTTTGGACAGCCTGCTCTAGGGGAAGATATTCCTCCCTCTCCAGCAGCTGCTTTTCAGGCAGTCTGGTGTACATTAATATAGTTACTCAAGTTACTGGTGATACTGGTTGGTATGAGGTGATACTGGCTCTTTCATGTAAACCAAAACGTGGAAAGTGCTCAGTTGAAAAAGTGTTATGTGGTGATCAATTCTTATGGACTTAAGATAAATAGGAATTCCTATTGGCAATCAGAATAGAGAAAGAATGATTAGTTGCAACAAATGGAAGTAAATGAATCTTTAAATAAATGTAAAAAACCATAGAGTTGTACTATAGCACCTTAATGACAAGGGGTTTGAGGGCACCCTCAGTAAGTATGCAGGTGACACAAAGATAGGGGTGTTGCATGAGGGTGAGAGGAGGAAGGCTCAGAAGAGGAACTTGGATAGATTGGATGAGAAGGGCCAAGGCAAACTGTGTGAGGTTCAGGAAGGCTCAGTGGTCACCCCGTGCGGTGGTACGGAGTGGCAGAAAAGCTGCCCTGCAGAAAAGGCCCTAGGCATGATGACTGACAACCTGCTGAAGGTGAGCCAGTAGCGTGCTTAGTCGACCAAGAAGACCAACGGCATCCTGGCTTGTATCAGAAACAGCACAGCCAGCAGGGCTAGGAAGGAGGTGTCCCCTGTTTTCAACTGTGGTGGGACCAGGCTGCATTTGGAATACTGTGTTCAGTTTCGGGCTTCTTACTACAAGAAAGACATTGAGGTACTGGAGCACATCCAAAATAAGGGCTGTTAAGCTGGTGAAGGGTGTAGAGAACAAGTCTTAAGAGGAGCAACTGAGGGAACAGAGGTTATTTAGCCTAGAGAAAAGGGGACTAAAGTGAGACTTTTTGCTTTCTACAGCTGCTTCAGAGGAGGTTAAATGTCCTGTCAGTTGTTGCCTGGGACAAGAGGAAATGGCTTCAAGTTGTGCCAAAGGAGGTTTGGCTTGAATATTTTTTGTGCTGAATGGTTTGTGAAGCTTTGGAACATGCTGCTGAGCAGTGGAGTCACCATCACTGGAGACAGTGAAAATGTGTAGATGTGGTCTTCAGGGTCATGGCAGAGTTGGCAGTGCTATTTTAATAGTTGAGCTTGATGATCTTAGAGGTCTTTTCCAACCTAAATGATTTTATGATTGTCTTAATGTGGTCATCTGAGGGTTTGTAAAGCAAAACTGATGTCTCTCTTTTAGAAGATGTAAAGCTTAGTATCAATTTCAAGGTTAGCTGATATTCTTGGATGCGCTATCTTCCTTTATGCAAGCAATATTCATACCAGTACAGCACAAGGAAAGCAGTGCATCTGAAACTGAAGATGTACAGTTCTTGGAAACAGCTGCGGTAGAAGAAAATATTACACACATCACCATTTCCGAGTGCAAAAAATCAGCTTGTATTCCAAGTCTGAATAAGTATTTTGTCATTGTAATATGTAAGTGTTAAGAAAGAAACTTCTTGCTGGCAGAGTTAAATTTTGCATTTTCAGGAATGAGTTTGGTCCTGTCATTATCTGGCCTTTTCTGCAGTTCAAAAATATGTCCATAAAGAAGGCAAATTAGGCTTCATAGATAAGCACTTGCCTTTTGAGCAGACAATACAGTTGATCTGAGGATAGCTATTTCACAACAGAAGTTTGACTTTTTTTTTTCCTCTGCAAATAATATTGTCGTGCCTGAAATGTTTAGATCTCTGGTATCTGCATTTTTCCCCTTTTATCTTTGTGTAGAGATACACACATTATCAGTACAGCTCATGCAGGAAATACCTTTATATCTGAAACTCTCAAGGGACTCCTGAACTCTCTGAAATGTTTTAATTTGCGTTTCTCAAAGACTGAGGCACAAGCATGGTAATGCTATTGACCAGATCATCTGGTCTCCTAGTGCTGTTATTTACAAAAGAATGTTCAGAAATAAAGGGAAAGTAGTTACTCAGTCTTTTAGTTGTGATCTATTTTCAGTAGTTTAAGGAAAGTGAAAATGTGTCTTCTGTCAGCTACTGCAACAGTGATTATGGAGTAATAGATCCAGGTGTTTGATATAAGTGAAATGACCCAATGTCAAAAGACCTTATTGTGAGCAGATAACTTTGCTGATGGATTCATCCTGTAATGTAGTGTCAATGCAGAATTCTACAACAAGCCTTTTAGTTACAAGAGACTTAAAACCTACCCTGCCTGGGGAATACCTTCTTGTTTATTGTGTAAGTTTATGGCAGCATGTTATGAGGTGCTGTGAGTTAAAAGCATGCAGATGTTCTGAAGCTGTAAAACCTGCATGAATGTAAGCGTTTTTCTCAATATAATGTTAGTGAAGTGCACAAGAGTGACCTCTGAAATGGGGAAAATGTTGCAGAGATTTTCTGGTGTTAGAGGTGTTTGAGAGTACTAACATGCTGCTAGTGTACTTGGGCATCAGCATGAATGTTTGACAGTGTTGCTGATAAGCATGTTTTAACTTCAGCTTAGAAATTGATCGAGTCTTGTCTAGCAAGAAGTCAAGCAAGTGGCAGACATGCTCCTCAGTGGCTTTGCCAAGAGAGTGATGGGCAGATCCTTAACAAAGAAAAGCCACCCTTACTGTTTCATGTTCTGTATTTCGTTTGATTGTGTTTCATGTCGTGTCACTGTCTGTTGTTCATCTCTGTGTCCCAGATTCCTAAACAGAAAGTCTATGCCTACCTTTGAATGACTGTAGAGGCAGCTTGTAGCATAATATGTTTCACCTTTTGTATTGTTGGCATTTATGATTGCAGGCAACATCTTACTACATGCTTGTTAGAAGTTCCCAGCAAGCTGTCAAAATCTTGAGAAAGTTTGTGCATTTTAACAGAAAAATGGAATACATATACTACTATTCTTATAAACTAAGTGCTTATTTTGATACTTAAATTCAATGCTAAATGTTAATGTTAAATCTTCTTTTTAGGTTTACCTTTACTTGTGCAAAGAACAATTGCACGAACTATAGTACTCCAAGAAAGCATTGGTAAGGGTCGCTTTGGAGAAGTATGGAGGGGGAAATGGAGAGGAGAAGAAGTTGCTGTGAAGATCTTCTCTTCAAGAGAAGAGCGCTCGTGGTTTCGAGAGGCAGAAATTTATCAAACAGTTATGCTACGACATGAAAACATTCTTGGATTCATAGCTGCGGACAATAAAGGTTAGAGATGTTACTAATTACTTTTGCTGATTGTTGTATTCTCAGAGTGATAATTACAAGAACTATTTTATAAATAGACAGTTAAGATTTAAAAAAATGTTACTTGAACACTTAATTTGACATGTTTAATAATCAAAACCTGCTTTTTTTCTGGAAAACATCTTTATGTCTTACAAATTAAAAAAAAAAAAAAAAAAAAAAGATTCCCTATAGAGGTATAATTTCCACAAGCTGCTGGGGCCATGTGTTGCCTTGTTTTGAACCAGCTAAGCATGTAGTTTAGGTTTTTGGTGACTTCTTTACTTGTTTTGTTTGATACCCAATTTTACAGTGTGGTCAGTATCTGCTGTAGTCTTCTGTTCCCACTACTCATGAATTCCATGGGTTTAGCTTCTATAGAAATAATTGTATTCGTACTGTTAGTAAGTTGAAGTTATGCTGCATGCTTCTAGGTAAACTTACGCATTAAATGTTTCAACTTCTGTTCCTTCATCTTAATTAGAAGCTGTACCTCTGTAGGTAAAGGTTAGCTTTGTTCAATCAGCCTATCTTATGTGGTAAGTGTGTTTCTAGGAATGTTGGGCAATGTACTGCAGAGGAATGAGTACAATTACCTTGCTCTTGAGAAATGCTTTTGTCATTCTGTTTGAAGCTGTGATGTTAGCAGGGAAGAAGGAATTTGACTGGATGGTCTCCCTGATTTACCGAAATTGCATGTCATTAATTAGTTTATCAGATGATTATCTTTAGTATGATAGTCAAGCTGTTTCACTTCAAGGAGGAGAAGTTTCAGTTTGAAAAAGTAGTTCTTCAAAGTTCAGTGGGATACATTTTACTGTAAGATACTAGAGAACATAAGCAATAAGGCAGTTTTCATAGCTGCTTTTTAAACATTTGACTTGGAACATGAATCTGGGGTTAGAATTCTAATTACCCAGCAGTACTCAAACTTTAAAACTTAGCATTTGTCTTATGGACAAACATGCATTTAATTGTAGTTGGCATTTGGTTGCATAGGTTAGATGAGGCGCAGGTAATCTATTATATTCTTCTGAAGGAGACTGTCTAAAATGAAGATTACTTGGAATTCATGTTCTATAATCAGTGTCCTAAAAACAAATCTGAAAGATTCTTTATTTAGAACTTCAAATTTTATTGATCTTATGAAATAAACTTTTTGCTTCTGAGTTGTTTTGATTTTAAAACGTTTTCAGAAAGTTTCTTGCAGATGTGTGGAATTATTAAACTTTTAAATAGGTTTCCAAGATACCTAGATTCTTGCGTTATTTTTTTTTTACCATTCTGGTACTGCTGGAGGTTCCTGATCATGTTGTCTTAGATAAATTAGGTTACTTTGTCATGGAAGGTTGTGCTACTCTATGTAATTGTGACCGAGTGTAACTACTTTTTCATGCTTGATAATGTGAGTGGTATAATTGGGAACTTTGTGGCAGATGTTGTTTACTCTGCAACCAGAATATTCAGGGTCACCAAGTAATAATTAACCACACTGTCAACAGCATGAGACTTAATAATTTGTGTTCTGCCAATGCAACTAAAGAAAGATAAATGCATAGCTTGTCAGATAGAGTAAAGTGAAGTTGTAGTAGTGGTACCATCTAAAAGCTGAACTCCAGTGTTCTTACTGCTGCATTTCAACTGGTCTGTATCTAATAATATTCATGTAAGCTTGTATGTAAGACCATGGCTTGTTTAGAATCTAATAGAAGGGCCACAAACATACATAATTCAAAAAAAGGCTTCTTTCAGAAAGGGTAATATGCCAAGCTTTTATTCTTCTTCCTTTGGAAAGTAGATAAAAACACTAAATATTAAGATGAATGAAGTAGCAAAAAGAAGTCCAGGAGCAATCAAAAAGGACATTAGGTGAAAGGATCAGGTGGTGTTTTCCTCTGTCCTTCAATGAGCAGGGAACAGTACTTAAAGGAACAGGCAGACCCAGCTGATCAATACATGGCTCCAAGGCTGGAGTCACCAGCAGAATTTTGTGGTTCTTGATCATGGGATTTCCTGTACAACATCAGGCCTGCTGGCACCCGAAGGGAAGCACCTTTCTTACGGGGTTTGAAAAGAATTTTTATTTGCTGGAGTGAGCAGGACCAATTTGTAAAGCTTTAAACTAGATCCAAAGAGAGAAAAGGGAAAAACCAGGCTTACCAGTGATAAACTGTGGAATGGAATAGCAGCATTTGAGAGGCTGCATGCTAATGATAGTCTTCAGTCTGCTCCACAAGGTGCTAGGCACACTGGATCAAAATGTTTCTGCAGCAGTGTATGCAACATGAGGAATAAAGCAGGAGGAGCTAGAAGTCTTGGCTCTGTCCCAGAGCTTTGATCACAAATAAGTGAAACCTGCTTGGAAGACACCTGTGACTGGTGTGTCACAGTGGGAAATTTTTCTATCTCCAGAAGGGATAGGAATGCAGAGATGCTGTTTGCCATTGCAGAAAGAAAATGTGTGTCAAAAGCTCAATATGAGTTGACACTGGTCAGTACTATGGGGAACAACCAAAAGGGCTTTTTAAAATGTGTCAGCAGCAAAAGGAGGAGCATAGATAACTTTATTTCAATTGATGAGGGTGGATACCTTACAAGTAGGGGTGCAGATAAAGCAGGGATGTTTAAAGCCGCCTTTGCTGCTGTCTTGAGCATCAGTGAACATCTGGAACCCCTGGAGCCCTGAGTTAAAGCCCTATGACTGTCTTAACAATAAACTCCCAGTCAGTTTTGACCTTGTGTTGGATTTGCTGCTTCAGCTGGATGCACATAAATCTATGAGATCTAATTCATCCGAGGTTCTTATAGGGATGGGTATCAAAAAATAACGTCAGCCTTCAGTTATTTTTCACTGTTTTGGGAATCTGGAGAAGTGCCAATTAAGTAAAAGCAGACAAATGTTGACTCGGTTTTCAAGAAGATCTAGAAAGAAAACTAGTAATTAAAAGCCTGTCAGTCTCACTTCAGTGCCTGGCAAAATTATGGAGAATATTCTGTGGGTTACTGAAAAACATCTGAAAGGCAGTGCAGTCATTGGCCACAGTCAGCAAGGGTTTGTGGGGGGAGGATCCTGTTAACGAACCGAATCGCTTTGTATGATAAGGTTACCTGCCTAGCTGACCAGACAAAACCAGTTGATGTCATATTTTTGGATTTCAGTCAAGTTTTCAAAACTGCTTCTCTCAGTATCCTTCTGAACAGAACAGTCAGTGTGCAGCTAGACAAAAACATAATGGGATGAGGGAGATGAGGGAGCAGTTGACTGATGCTCAAGCCCAGAGGGTTACAGTAAATGGCTGGTGGTCAGTCATTAGTGGGGTTCTGCAAGGCTTTGTTTTAGGGTCAGTTCACTTTAATGACTTGAATACAAAACTCGAAGGTATACTAAGTAAGCTTGCAGGTGATACTAATTTGGGAGGGACTGCTGACTCCCAGGAGAGGGTACAGAGGTCTTGCAGAGAGATCCTGACAAATTGGAGGGTGAAGTGACTACCAACCACGTGAAGATGAAGGAAAGTAAGCCCTGGATTTTTATACCTGGGACAGGATAACCCTGAATAAGTGTACAGACTGTGGAATGAGAGGTTGGAAAGGAGGCTCCACAGAAAGGGATCTGGGAGTTTTGGCTGATGGCAAGCTGAATCTGAGTCAGCAGCATGCCCTGATGGTCAAAAGGCCCAGCTGTATCCTGGGATACATCAGACCTGGCACTGCCAGATGGTTAAGAGGAGAGATTGTCACGCTGTGCTCTAAACTGTGAGTCCTCAACCTTGAGCAGCATGCGAAGTATTGGGCACCACAGTGTAAGGAGGACATGGAACTATTAGATGGTGACGGGTCTGTAGCAAAACTTGTGAGGAGTGGATGAATTCCCATGGTTTGTTCAGCCCAAACAAGAGGCTGAGGGGAGGCTCTATGGCAGCCTACAGCCTCCTTATGGAGGGAGCAGAGAGGCTGGTGCCGATATCTACTCTCTGATGGCAGTGACAGGACCCAGGGGAATGGCATAGAGCTGTGTCAGGAGAGGGTTGCACCCTTCACCAGAGGGTTGTTGGGCACTGTAACACCCCATGTCATGACATATGCCTGCAGGTGTTGTTCAAGGAATGTTTGGATACGGTGCTCTCAGAAACATGGTTTAAACTGTGGGTGGTGATGTGTGCAACCAGCAGTTGGAAGGGACCCACAAGGATCATCGAGTCCAAATTGGGATATTCTGTGATTTATTTATTTGTTTATTTTTGCACCTTTCAGGTAGTAGAATTGTACAAAAGAAAACAGAAGGATTTGTAATTAGAAATTAGATGCTTCTTAGGTAAGCATCTGGAGTTCAAAGGAAAAGACTTTATGTGTAGGCAATACAGTCTTGACTCAGCACAGTGGTGGTTTTTCATGAACAATCTAGTGTCTTTGGAAGATCTGTTTCAATGCAGTAGACCTGGTAGATAGCTTAAATTTAATTGCTCCTGGATATCTGCTGAATTCTGTACTTACTGTTGTGTAGCTTAAACATACAGAAATCCCATCCATAAGGAACACAGAGGATGAGTCAGCGACTGCATGACTGTGCGTATGATGCTAATGGCCAGGTATTGTTTCAGTCAGAGTGGGGATGAAACTGGTGAAGCAGTAAAATGAAAGTAAGAAAATGTTCTGACGTGACTAGGTTATTTCATTTTGAACTCCTACAGCTTTTTTGAGCTTACTGAATATGTGCATTGGAAAGAGCATCATTTTATGTGCCTGTAAATGCTTATCTAATGGTTCTGTGAAACTGGTTCAGTGAAGTTCCGTTTGAAAGTAAGCTGTGAATGTAGGGAGCTAGAATTCTTTTTCTAGTATAAGAATTGTTTTAATGTAATTTAGACTTTTATGTTCCTGCTCTGAAATGTTCAGATTATTTTAAAAATGCGTTGTTACTGATGTAGTTTCTCCTTTAATGGTAACTCTGACCTCTCTTGAACCACACATGTAGAAGTGTTTCTTTAAAGTTTTCTCACCCACTCAACAGTGCTTAAATATATAGTCTATGATCTGCAGATCTGGCATGTTGTGCTTCTGACTTTTCTGAGCCCAGCGTGTTTTTGAGGAGATTGGAGGAAGAAAAAAGAAATGTAAGAAGCTGCAGAACTTTCAGTTTGATTAGCACTATACTTATGATAGGAGCTAACTTCTGCATTCGTTTCTTCCTGTTCTTCATATGTTTAGCTCGTGTTGTCACCTGTTATTAGGAATAATGGCTGTGTAGTTTGGGATAGAGGTCCTGAACTACAATTTTATAATTGTGATTATAGAATACAGCCATAAAAGTAGCTATAAAATACTTCTGAGATCTGTCTTGAGAGCTTTAAATTAATAAAGAAATAACTAGAAAACCTACATGGTGGCAGGACTGTTCTTCTGTGGATGTACTTTCAGCTTCCTAGGTCAGAAAGCCTTTCTTAAGGGAAGATGATTTGACTTGTTAAATAGTCTTCTTTCTGTAGATGAACTTCAAGACATTGTGTCCAGTGTTCTTGTAGTTTGAGCAACTGGATTCTTGCCTGTCACTTTTCTATCTTGAGGTGTTTATGTATTGCAGCCTGTCTGTCTGTCTGTCTCATAGTTCAGTGGAAAATCATACAGCAAACTGGTTTTCTCATAACTGGTGTTTTTCATTCTCTTTATCCCTTGTTCTCTTTGGAAACCACAGTTCTGGCCAGCAACTTTGAGGTCACTGGTGGTGGGATTTGGTTTAGTTCTTGAAATAAAACATCAGGCTGCTGCTTGCAAGTTCCCATTCCAGGAAGAAAATCCAACATCTGCTCATAATTATGGGCAGTGTGTCACAGACTGAGGCTGGATAAGTAATGGGGAGAGACTGAAAGAGTTATGAGGCAATACTTGATTTGCACAGGCAAATAGTTGCACAGAAGTATGGTTGAGGGCAGGAGATAACTGGTTATGTTTTTTTAACACTTACTACCTGAAGTAATTAGCCTGGAAAGCAAAAATAGAGTAATAAGTGAAGCAAGTTAAGCTATAGACTCATAATAAACTTGCAGAAGTTTTTAGACAGGTATTTTTTTCTACCTGTGGTCTGGATGATTTTGGACTGGTACTGGTGTCATTAGCTTTGCATCATGCATTCATACCATTCCCTAAGCAGGAACAATAGCAACATAGGCTTTCTGCAGTTTGCCTTTTAATTTAAGTAAATGAATATTCCCTAAGCTGTTCATAATGTTTTTGCATTGTAAGACCTTTACAGAGGCATTTAAATGCTACAAGGATAGAAGTAAAGACTTGAAGTCTACCTGGTGGAGGTTACTAAACACAGTTTGCAATCCCTAAGCACTGTATAAGAGGTGGGTCTGTGGGTGCAGTTTTGTGTGTGTGACATTCATGCCGGTGTTGTTTTGCAGACAATGGTACATGGACACAGCTGTGGTTGGTGTCAGATTATCACGAACATGGGTCACTCTTTGATTACCTGAACAGGTATACAGTAACCGTGGAAGGAATGATAAAATTAGCCTTGTCTACTGCCAGTGGCCTTGCTCATCTTCACATGGAAATTGTAGGCACACAAGGTAATCTTTAAATGATTCAGTCTGTTACGTGGCTAAAATAGATTTACGGGTTTTTTTTAGTGACACTGAGCTCTTTGTACTTTGTCTTAATTAGAACACTGAACTTTCTCAGACTAGCTTTTTTGCAACTGCTTGCTTTTGTAATCTTCTGAGGAGCTGAGTTAATTGAGAAATGTTTGTTTAGGACCTATAATAATTTCTGAACTAAAATAAGATCTTAATTTGATGTAGACAGCGTGTTTCAGTATACGTTTCTACTGAGAACAAGATGAAATTGGAAGTTTTTCTTCTACTACCTAATAAAAAGAAAAGGGTGAACTTTCTGAAAGTCTATTAGTTGTAAAAGTGTGCTTATCCCTTGTTCATTGATGATAACAGGCTTTCTCTCAACTGTCACCCACCAGCTACACGCCTTTACGTGCTAAAATGGCTGCTCTTGTACTACTACAGCAAAATCATTTTGTTTTCCTTCAAAAGCTTACTAAGAGAATAAACTGTCAGAAACTTCCTTACTGTTAAGACGTATATAAAGTTTCTAGTTTTACTGATGCACTTTGTGGTTTTTCTAACTGCTGATATTTTGAGGCATTCTGGGGGCTTGGGTCTTTTTTAACCTTCCCTTCTGTGATGTATCCAGTTCTTGTGATTATGTAATTATCTTTCATACACTACACATATGCAGTGCCTACTTCTGATTTGTGGCAGCGTTAAGGAGCTGTTTCATGAGATAGAAGTCTTTTGACAGCAAGTAGCACTTATGCACTGCATATATGTACGTAGGATGAGGGAGGGAAGCAGCATAGACTAGAGTAATACCATAAGCATTTAGTGCACTTTTCTGGTCAGCTAGCTGGTCCACAAAGAATGATTTCAGGGATTATCTTGAGGATGAGCTCAAAGTAGCAGATCTGGAAAGAATTCTGTAATTTGAAACAAAATCTGCACTAGGTCTAGAATATTAGCAGTTGTGTTTTACATATGTGTTATTTTTGTTTTCTCTTTACAGGCAAACCAGCGATTGCCCACAGAGATTTGAAATCAAAAAACATATTGGTAAAAAAGAATGGAACATGCTGCATTGCAGACCTGGGGCTGGCAGTTCGACACGATTCAGCTACGGACACAATTGACATTGCCCCCAACCACAGAGTGGGAACAAAAAGGTAAAAACTATTAGTGTGATGTATCAGATGTCTTCTTAATAAAATGCTTTGCTTTTTCTTCTGTTTCGATTTGTTTTTTAGCTACAAACTTAAAAAATAAATATAAACAGTACCAAGTAGATTTCTGTTGCAGGCAGTTCAGCTGGTGAGTTAGACTGTATTTAAAGCACACAGTGGTGCTTTTGGCTTCTACTGCTAGCATGTATATAAAATGCTTGAAAACGTGTCCTGCTACATTTTGCAGAAGTATACATTAAATGATTAGAAGACCTCAGAAATGCCTATAGAGATTTCACTTGCTCTGTCTTTGTATTTTATGCCTTGTTGCCATCTGGGTGCATGTAAGTTGGGATGTTGAAAGTAAAGCGTGTGCTTTTCTTTTTACTTGGAAATTTTCCTTGTTTTTTGGGGGGCAGTATTTTATTTGTTTCAAATTTGAATCCCACATGGTAGAACAATGTGCAGAGTCTTGAGTATAGACTTCCATGGAGTTATATTTTTAAGAGGAAAAAAAATCTCGAGGCAGTCATCTGTTGCATAAACAGAATTAACAGTGGATGGATCAATATTGCTCTCTTTTTTTTAAAAAAAAAAAAAAGTCTACCTCTGAATTTGGATATGTAGATTTTTCTCATTCTCAAAGTAACTTGAGATATGCATAATTGCACTTTTAAGTGCAAATAATTAAGTGCTTCAGTGTTAAATCAGTGATGCTGCTTGTACCAAAGTCTGTCACTGAGAAATGTATGGAAACCCTGTCATATGGGGCTGTGCAGTATTAAATTCAGCCATATGCTCTAGCTGCCTTGGCTGATATCTGTACTGATGTTGTCTGATCTGATTGTTAAATCAAAAATGATTTTTTTTCTCTTCGCTTCAGTGAGTGATGCTATGTGTGCACGTGTGAACAAAGCTTTTAGAACTTTAAATGCAAGTTGTTTTACTGACAATTACGTTGCTGAGATTACTTCATTCTAAAGCTCTGCAATTCTTGCTCCCTTACCAAATTAAAAATGCTACACAAGTGGCCAGATGATTTACTTCCTGAATTTGTGCTAGATTACAAAATACTGGGAATTACTCCTCCAAAATCCTCACTAATCATTGCCTCGTGCTTCTTCACAAGGTTGAAGATGTAGCAGCTCTCTTTCTGCAATGGGCAGCATTAGGACTAAGTCCACTGCCCGCTTTAGACTTTAGTCACTTCTTTGACAACTGTTCATTTTCATAGAAAGGCTTGGTGCCTTCTTCCTCCCTTTTGTGTATTTTTAGGTAAGTAACTCTGCATCTTCACTTATTTTTCCATAGTAAAGCTCAGCTTGCACCTATTCAATAACAACTATACTTCAGTTGCTGAATACCAGTGTCTCTTCTTTGCATGGAAGCTCTCTGTGCAAATTTAGAGAGACTAGACTAAGTTAATATTTTTTTTTGCAGTGATTATCTACAGTCTAGGGAGGAAGCCACGCTTCCTCTTAAAAGTTTCAGGGGTGAGAATATCCTTGTTTTTCTGTTCTTCCTTGAGGGCATGAATTCAACCACGGGCCTCTGAGTTTTTCTGTTAAAATTCTTGTCCCTAGGATGACTTAAAAATGGGACAGCCTTCATTAGTACTTGTTTAAGGGATTTTGCCTAACAGACCAGCATCATGGTTGGGGTATTTTGGTTTGTGCTTTTTTTCCCCTATCCTTCAAACTCCTTCAATATTCTTGTCCCCACTGTCCCCATATGATCTTGAGATAGATTAAATATTTCCTTAGGACCAGAAGCTGAGCATTATACTGCTAAGGACATGAAGTAACGTAAGATTATAGTCCAGTATGTGTGCAAAGTCCTTGAAATAAGGAAATGCTCGCTATAATCCTGCATTTTTCTTGATTTAAGTTTTCAATGTAGATGTCCTAGAATCATTTGAGACTTGTAAAAGACTGACATACAAGTTTATAACCACATTCACTTGGTAAATGCAGTCAAGGTAAGCCTCATGTTCCTGTTCAGACAGTTGTTCTCTGCTTGTGCTGTTATCATGTGAGGGATTTATATGCCTATACTTTGCTCAGGAGAACCTTGTCTTCAACAACCCTTATTGGACTATGCATATTTTTGCATTCTTATTGATAGCCCTTCCTTCTTTGTATGTCACTTCCAGTCTTGTATTTTACATGCTACCTCTGGTGCTAAGAAAATGGGAGTCCTAGTATATTTAAGTCTCTGCTGTACTATTGCTGATTGGATATAGTTGTGTATAAGCTTCTCTGACTGTTCCAGAAGTAGAACTATTGGCTGACATTGCAGTAATCTATACATGTTAATTATCTGAGACCTCATGCATTTAATACTTAATCTGTAGGGGCCGCTGCCGCAATCCTATCTTCTCTCTTTGACAGAGAGCCCTTACTCTGCTTCTCTGATCCCAGTCCTGCAGAAACTGGTACCTGTCAGCTGGAACTGTGGGCCCTGTGACCCATGGTCCCATTGCAGTGTCTGAAGCAGTGACCTTCATTTGCTCCTTCCTTCTCGCTGGCAGTGAGACAATGACTTGCTCCAATTGCTGGCAACCCAGTCCCAGGGATGTCTTCACCCACTGTTTGACTGCAGTTCTGGCCCAGAATTCGCTCGTACTGTTTCCCCCACAAGAGCTGTCACTCCAGATGTATGCTCCAAAGACTTCTAGGACGTGCAGTTCCATTTCCAGTTGCTGAAACATTCTTCCTCTGTAGCTGATGGCACTCCAGGCCCAGTGGCACCTTCATCCCTGGTCTGATTCCAGTTACTGGCTCTGATTCACACCTATTTCCAGCTGTGGCCTGTAGAACTTAGAGCACATATGCAGTGTGGGAGGGCAAATGAGATTATACAGAATGATAGTTTTAAAAAAAGATTTAAAAAGACAGCAATGAGCAGACAGAGGCAGGCCTTGATCAGAAAAGCAGATGGTCTGTCTGCATGCACCTGGCCCCTTTGTCAGGTCATTTTATGTATTCCCTCAGTTTGGCTCCTTTTGGGTTCCCTTCTAAATATTGCTTGATAAGTTTCATGTTGTCCCACAGTACAGTGTGAATATCCACAGTCCTTGTATTTCTCTTGTTTTCACGCTTATTAGCAATTAAAAAATCCAGACTGGCCTTCTCCTAAACTATGCCTGGAGTTTCTTAATAGCCCATCAGTCAGTGACTGGAGGCTTTTGGTCATCATTACTGTTTCTGTTACATCTACCAAGTTTATGGCTCTTTTTGTTTATCTTTTCACATTTTACTTATTCCCCCTTTTTCTTTGCTTATTGCTTTCTGTTTATCTGCTTTACAATGAAAGGTCTTTGGTTGGATAACCTTAATGAAGCAGGTGCTCTTCCATATAACATCCATATATCCACTGATCATAGATAAGGTTATAACTGAAAAATATACAGGGAAGTTAGGCTAAGCAGGTTATCACACCAAAGAACAGGTGGAAAGCTTACCCTTGTCCTGGGCTCGCTGAGAAGGCTCCAAGAGGAGCGATCTCAAGATCCTGCCCTCGTCATACTCAGCTCTTCAATGGGGTCTAGGAGAGGTGCAGCCAGGCTCCACTCCTTCCAGTAGCACAAGAGCATTGCCTTCACCTGTGCTCCCAGGGCTGGCTCATGGCTCGCCTCAGGTGCTCAATCAGAGGTTCAGGCTGTGATTCAGCAGTTCCCATACACCTTACAACCTTTTAGTATAATCTCCAGCAAGTCTTTTCCCCTGTGCCTCAGCAGCATTCTCAGAAAATCCTACTTTTGCAGGATTCTGCATGAAGGACAACAAGTGTTCCTGTAAACTGCTGTCTGTGTGTTTTTATGTGGGAATTCTTTGACTCTGTCTTTTGTGAAAACTTAAGACTTTTCAGCCTTGTAGCCCTGCTGAGAGGGACCTAGGGGTTGTGGTGGATGAAAAACTGAACGTGAGCCGGCAGCGTGTACTTGCAGTCCAGAAGATCAGTGGTGTTCTAGATTCCATCAGGTGGCAAGCAGGGCAAGGGAGGTGATTGTCCCTCTCTATTCTGCCCTCACAAGGTCCCAATTGGATTACTGCGTCCAAATCTGGGGCTCCCAATGGAGGAAAGATGTGGAGCTTATTGGAGAGGGTTCAGAGAAGGGCCATGAAGATGATTGGTGGGCTGGGTAGGCTGAAGGAGCTGGGCTTGTTCAGCCTGGAAAAGGGAGGGCTGCAGGGCGACCTCTTTCCAGCCTTCCAATATTTAAAGGAGTTAATAAACATGAGGGAAATCACACAGGTAAACGGGTAGGGAGGAGAAGTTTAAGGGAAACAAGATTTAAATCAGATGTCAGGGGAAAGTTATTTTCTGAGAAAATGGTGAGGTGCTGGAACAGACTGCCCAGAGAAGTTGCAGATGCCCCATCCCCGGAGGTGGTAAAGGCCAGGCTGGATGGGGCCCTGGGTGATCTGATCTAATACTTGATCTAGCAGCTTGTTTCCCTGCCTGTGGTGGGGCATTGACGCTTGATGGTTCTTGAGATCCCTTCCAACCCTGGAAGGGGTTCTTGAGGTCTCTTCCAACCCAAGCTGTTCCACGATTCAGGCTCTCTGCTCTCCATTCACTTGCTCTTCAAATTGGCACTCAGTTATCTTTCTGTATTCTAAATTGTGAAGTATATTTTCTGTTAGTAATCAAATCTAAATATCCCTCATAAATTCTATTTAATTTACATTAAATCTTACAGCTGTTTATTTCAATGCTTTGATTTTTTTTTTTTTTTTTTTTTTTTTTTTTTTTTTTTTTGTAAAAGTATATGCCAAAAGCAGGGAAACTTTGAACATCTTAATGTAAAGTGCATTATTTCTCTCTCTCTCCTTTTCCACATAAATGTGTTTGAGCTGAACAGTAACACCGAGTTTCTTCTACAGGAGATATTTATGAAATCACATGTTTTCTGTTCTTTTATTGCAAATAGGTACATGGCACCTGAAGTTTTAGATGATTCCATAAATATGAAACATTTTGAGTCATTCAAACGAGCAGACATCTATGCAATGGGATTAGTATTTTGGGAAATTGCTCGTCGATGTTCAATCGGTGGTATGTAGCAATCTTTACTTAAAATTCTGTCAAGTTTTGTAATTTACAGATCCTTGTGAACAAAAGCTTAAGAAATTTTCTTGAAAAACACTGCAGTACGTTTCAGACTCTCTAATTGCTAATCCTGTAAATGATGTCTAGTTGATTCCACCTCTGCATAAAATAATGAACCATAGCAGGTGAGGAATATGGGAAATAGTCCTGCCTGTATTGTTTTTTTTCTCTCTAAAACTTTTGATGTAAAGAGAATAAAAGAGTAGAGTTAAATGCCCTTGAGATCAACACTGCAATTAAGGCCTAGACATCACTGTTTAGATGTGTACGGTTTATTCAAAATGGCATGTTTCCAAAAAGGACTTCTTTGGATCAGCCTATGAAAGATTTGGCATGGCTTTCATCTCTTCCAAATGCATACGTTTCAAAATCTGTTCAAAGGTAATGTAAAGGTATGTGTAAGGATGTTTTTTTAAAATGTTATTGTAGATCACAATGTAATGTTTTTTATAGAAATAAAAGTAGAAAAATAAAATGGCGCCAATAAGGACCGTAAGTAAAATTAGAGTGCATGTTTCAGTGTTAGGTAAAAATAAAAGATTTTTTTCAACCAATTACAGGAATCCATGAAGATTACCAGTTGCCATATTATGACCTAGTTCCTTCAGATCCTTCTGTTGAAGAAATGAAAAAAGTTGTTTGTGAGCAGAAGTTAAGGCCCAATATCCCAAACAGATGGCAGAGCTGTGAGGTATTGGCTAACCTCTATAAAGCTGTTTTATGAACACTGGAGTTTTTATTGATTTCAGCAGCTTGAAAGTTGTGCTTGTGGTGGAAGGGAGAAGGGTTGCCTCTGGGAAAACTTTCTTTCTAATCATCGTGGCTTTATTGAATGCTCTATAACTTTGATTATGCCTAAATATTTAATGAAGTCCTACAAAAGCGAATAGCTTATGTTCCACGAAGAATTCTAGTATTCCTTCATGTGAAGCATAGGGGAAGCTAATATAAGTTACAGCTAGTATCAGTTACGTTGTCTGGGAAGTGTCATTGTGAATAAATAGCTTAATAGGAGGCTGTACAGCATCTGGCTAGGATACAGTTAATCTTCCTAGAATCATAGAATTACATCTTATCCCGAGTTGGAGGGGATCTGTAAGGATCATTGAGTCCAACTCCTGGCTCCACACAGCACCATCCAAAAATCAGACAGTATGACTGAGAGCATGTCCAGGCACTTCTTGACTCTAGCAGGCTCAGTGCCGTGACCGCTTTGCTGGGGAGCCGTTCCAGTACTCAGCCACCCTTGTGGTGAAGAACCTTTTCTTGACACCTAGCATGAACCTGTTGCAGCTTCACAGTGTTCTTTCGGGTTTTGTTCAACAGAGAGATCAGCACCTGCCTCTCTGCTCCTCTCATGGAGAAGCTGTAGGCCACAATGAGGTCTCCTCTTCTCTGGACTGAACAAACCAAAGTACTTCAGGTGTTCCTGATAGGGTCTCCCCTCTGGACCCTTCATCATATTCCTAGCCCTCCTTTGGACACTGATAGTTTTATGTCCTTTTTGTACCATGGCACCAAAAACTGCACACAGTACTGAAGATGAGGCTGACCAGCTAGCAGTGCCGTGGTTCATGTACCCTGGGATACACTTGGCCCTTCTAGCTGCCTGAGCACACTGTTAACTCAGCTGTGCCCCCATGGCTTGTAATTTGGTAGTGGACAAGAGGCTGGAAGGAAACACAGGACAAAAATACAAATTAATCAGTGGGATACACCATAACACTCAGTGTCATGCTCAGCAGCTTAATTCTGGTCAGGCTGCTGTTGTTGCTTGGTGGCTGACCAGGTGTTGCTCAGCTAATGGTGAGCAATGGCTTCTAAATTGTTTTTGTTGGATTTTTTTTTTTTTTTTTTAAATTATTATTATTAAACTGTCTTCACCTCAGCTCATGTTTTCCTGCTTTTATCCTTCTGATTTTCTTTCTCCACTCCATGGTGAGTGAACAGGCAGCTCTGTGGATTGGGAGTCAGTTTCTTGTCAAGATTAACACACAGCTGAGGCAGTAAAAGCTTTTTTTGTTTGTTTTAATCAGGAAAAATGTACAGCTTCTCATTAGGTCTGTGCCAGTTGGTTTATACCTAGGCTGGCTAGTACGTTTTTTTGAAAAGCAGGCGTAGTTTCATCTCAGCATTCTGCCAGGACAACAGTACTGCTTGTCTTCAACTGTGCTGTCCTGCCTGATGTGAAGCCAGCCTGGAACTAAGTCAGGTGCCTTTTCCCTCTCGTTTGACAGAGGCATATCTTGCAGAATTTAGACTGACTCTGGAATGAGTTTGTTACGCTGGTAGCTACTGCTTGCCAGAGCATAGGAGAATAGCTGCAGGAAGCTAGAACAGGAGTAGGTTGATGTGATGTCCATTAGATGGAAGAGGTAACTGGGTTGTGGAATGTATGAAGTTAATACACACATGAAGGCCTGAGAAAAAAGAGTTGGCAACACAGTGCAGCTTGGAGAGAAAGGCAGTACACATCTACTGCTTTTAATGCTTCCATTCAAATCTTGCAAATCAACTAAGCAATTTCTTGTCATATAGCTCTGAGTGTAAAATCTGTGTATCTATCCTTTATTTCATCAATTTTTGTTCTTTCCGTTGTGACTTGATAGTAGCATTTACAAATTTCAAAAAATAGGTTTTTGAGGGATAAAAAGGCTCCAAGTTTTCTGAATGTTATAAAGTTCAAATTCAGTGGAAGTACCTGATTTAAAAAAAAAAAAAGTACTGAATTGCTGTATATTTAACTAACTCTTTGAAAAGCATTTAATGATTGAGAAAGTGTTTGTGTACATGCTCAGCTACAGAGCACTTCCATGCTAATATTGAGTGCCTTCTGGTTCTTTACTATTGCTTTTTACCTGGATTTAAAGCACAATTAGTGTGTTTTTTCTAATTCAGAACTTTAGGTTAGAAAATAGTTAGACAAACTATTAAATTTTGTTACAGTATTTTTGCACATGCTGAATAATACCAGATCTCTTACTTACAGGAAAGAAAATCTTCAAGATTTGAATGTTCTTACACAACATGCCAATGTAGTTCTAGTAATAGACTCCAGAAATATGTACTATAAGAGGCTAAGGCAGTACAGAGGTTTAGTGGGAACAGAAATGCATGTAATAATTTGTTTCTTTTGCAGGCATTACGAGTAATGGCAAAGATCATGCGGGAATGCTGGTATGCCAACGGAGCTGCTAGGCTAACAGCGTTGCGTATTAAGAAAACACTATCACAGCTTAGTCAACAGGAGGGGATAAAGATGTGATCCTGGATTTGCTACCAAAAACAAACACAAAAAAAACTGTAAAAATCCATACCTGCACCAGAGTGGCGTGTTAAGAAGGTTAATTGTTCTACCTCACTGGGGGAACAGAAGGATATTGCTGCCTTTTAATACTGCATAGGAACGTCACTTGTTAGGATTTCTGTGGATGTGCTGAGCAGTTGCTTTGGGTCCTTTCTGTGCACTATGAACCTTGTTCTGAGGTTACTTACAAAACATCGTGTAGACTAGTTTTGCTTTTATTGACCTATGATTTTTTTATTTGGAAAGTTCATAGCTGGTCTTAACTTCTAGTAAACTGTACTGAAAACAAGATTGCTTTTAAAATGGCAACGGTTCGCTGTATTGTTCTAGAGTGCATTGAAGGCTGCTTCAGCGACGTTATTCCTGCCTGGTACATTGAGTATTCTGAACCACTGTTACAGTTCTTTGATTCAGATTTTGAATGTACTGTTGGAGTATGCTTTGCTGCCCATTAAGGTTGTATGTCTTTGGAATGCTTACCTTAATTTGCAAATTGACCTCATTCAGTAGTGGGGAACATAAATTATGCAACTATCTACATGATTACTGTTTTGTTTTTTTTTTTTTTCTCCATATTTTCAGAACACTACATTGCCTTTAAAATAGATTGTATTATATCAGTAAGTGCTGCTTTTGAGTCTTTTCATGCATACCAGCAAGTGTACAGAGCCCATGGTACTTTTGATTTCCAAGAATGAACTGTTCCTTTCCCTAGGTAAGATTTAACTCGCACTCATTTCAGCAAGTGAGTGTGTAGTTTGTGAAAGACCTTGAATTTTACCAAAATCTAACTCTTTAAACTATTGTATGAGTCTCAAAACATGTAAACTGGTTAATTCATTGTCACACTTTGTAATTGCCAAGTCATGAGTCGTAATTTAAGCTTTATTTTATGTGGTAATTCTGAAATCTTGAAGATCAACCTACTTCAGAAAAATAGCGTGAAAATTAAGATGATCTCAAGGAAGATTTTCCCCCTTCAAATTAAATAACAGAAGCATATATTCTGTGCAGTTCTGTGGAGTCTTTAGGCTTAAAAGCTAATATTTGCAATTAAATGAGCGTGAAGTGTACTTGTAACTAGGGAGACTTATTTAGGCTTTTGTACAAGAAAGATAGAAGCTGCCTGTAAATCTTATGTGCATATTTTCTGTGTGCCACATACAAAGAAAGGGATGAGCTATAGAAACCAGTGAGCTGAAGGTCTTTAGATACAAATACCAGAAGACTCCATCGATGTTCTTCAGAAGAACAAAGCTTATGATGGTTTGTGTTGTCGTAAGGATACAGAAAAGCATGCCTGGCTTTAGTCAGACTTTGCCTGAAATGTAGGGACATCACAGTATCTTCGCAGACTTGTTTAGAAATTGAATTCCTTCCTGCCCAACTTCTGAATGAGGGTAGGGAAACTTTTTAAAATTGTTCTTGCCAGGATATGTTTTACTTGCAGTGGTAGGAAGAGTGTGGTTGATCTTTGGCTGGTAATTAGTATATAAACTAACAATTAACCTTTCACTCTCCAGGAGTGTTCTTGGCTAGCAACACACAGCAACCTTTATTCTGCTTTCTTTTTGTTTTTCAGCATATAGCTCCTCGAAGGCTTTTTACAGAGCTAGTAGGGATGGCAAGGTGATTTGCTAATGGTAGCATAGCTGAGATTGTGCCCCTTCGTCTGTGATGCACAATTGGTAACAGCAGTAAGATGGGCAGAGAGCCTAGTGAAAAGGCTGTGTAGGTGGCAAAAGTCTTGGCCAAGGCTTAGCGTTAGGTAGGTCTTGAGCAGTGCCAAACTCTTAATGCTTGCTTGGAGATGGGATTAAATGATGTGGAATTACAGACTGGCAGAGTTTGAGCTGCGTGTGACGCAATTCTTTCTTCAGCCACCACAGTGGATGAGTTTAGAGAACAGAACACAATGACAGAGAAGTTCTCAGTAGAAAACAGTTGGGTTGCAATGTTCGTACAACTGTCCCACCTGTGTGTTGTGTTTCTTTTTGGCACGCTGCTTTCAGGACCCCATCAGTCAAAGTTAAATCAAAATGACTTCACGTAGGGATTTTAAACTACCTTTATGCAAATGACCAAATGTAACCAGACTCTTCATTCTACTTATTTGACATGCCCCTTTAACGCATCCTGTAGATGCAGAAAAATACTTACAGAAAACAAGTCAGCATCAAAGGAAGACTTACTATTTGCTCCATACTAATTTTAAAGACTTACTATCTAAATAATGTTAAATTTTGACATTTGTCATAGCTTTACCTGATTCCTTATCATAGATACAAATGGTATAGTTCATAATTTAGAAACATCATGCCATGGGAAGGACAGTCAATACTGTGTGACATTACAAATATTATTTTAGAACAACTATGTTGTTCATATTGGAATGCAGTACAGGAAAATTCTGAATGGATATGTATGTATCCTCAGTTCGGATACCACGACTTCATGCTGTGTTCTTTTACATTATAAAAACTGAACACCTTTTACAAAGGCTGTGTCTGTATATATTATGTAACTTTAAGTGTTACCTGTGCAAGATCATATCTTATATGTATGGACACAGGTACACATAAGTATTTTTTAAATTAAGATTTTATTATCACCGGATCTGCTCTTGGAAATCCAGGGGGACCAAAATATTTTAGCATTCAAAATACTAATTTTATATCATTTCAAGTATATACCAAAACAGTTTGAATACTGATGCAAATGTTTATTGTAAATATACGTACCTTATATGTTCACTTAAGTTTTATGGATTCAATCAATTTGATATTTTAGTAGCATTGGAAGCCTCGGCGATCAGTTGGATGCATACTGACATGTAGAATAAAGAGTGGGGAGAATTTTCTGATGCTGAAAAGCCCAAAATAATGCTTTTGGAATGCTGGAGTTCTTCAGGGACCTTCTAATGTTGAAAGCTGGAATTCTGAGATGTTTATCAAGCTGATTTTCCAGGCGTGATGATCTGCTGTCACCCTCCTGTGGTCTCACTTGTAATCCTGAGAAAGACTGTGTATATAAAAACATTGACTGTATGGGAACATGAAGGTGTCAAACAAATAAGAGGCTATATTATATTTTCAGTCATGGTTCTGCGTGTGATTGTCGTGAATTCCAGCTTTTAGTTAGTTCCTTGTTTATACTGTTCCATTGAAACGATTGTATGGCGTTCATCATTTCATGTTTATAAAAAAAAAAAATCACTATCAGTTGCTTTAAACTCTAATTACCTCTTAAAAGGCCAAGGTACATTTACCTCGTGTATATAATGCTTAATATTTTCAGAACGTTTTCCAGGTTTGCAGTTACCTGTTTTTAGAATATGGCTAATCCTAAATTTTTAGCTTCAGTGGTACTAAATGTATTCTCCCGTGCCCCAAAACACTTTCATATTCCATATTTTGTTGTATTAGCAAGTCTGCTGCTTTGAGTGTAGCACCTACCCCTTTATGTAGCTGTGTGGATGGATACTGCCTTGTAAATTTTACTTCTTGGATGATAAATTTGATGATCCTGTACAGATGGCTGTCGCTTTTTTAAACCTTAGAAAATTGTGCATTTCCCCTTACATTTCTGAAACTGTATTGTATTTTTAGAGTATACATTTCAGTGGATTGTAAATAGGATGACAGTAGAAGAGTGGATGCATATATTAGGTGCTAACACTACAACAGAGAGATTAAAGGAGTGAAAATGAGTATATATATATATATTTTTTTTTTTCATTTTTCCCCTCAAAATGTTTGAATTGTCTTTTAGGGGAAGACATTACAGGTACGTTCTGAACTGGCAAAGAGTGGATTTACAGTGAGGTACCTGTGAATTCCTTTTCTCTGAAGAAATTTCTGCTGCCGTGAAAATGATGAGAAGGGGTTTGCTGATGCTGAAGGAGTCCATCCCATGTATGCCATACAGATGATGATAATGTGCCCAGTCTTCCTTGTATCCTATAATACGTTTTGGATAAATACAGTGTTGGTGTCTCTGATCTCTTAGCTAAAACAGCGTGACTGGCTGTAAATTTTGCTGCTTTTTTGTGTTTACGTAGAAATAAGCTAGCATTTAAATGTATGTTTAAGAGGATTTTAAGACTTGAGCAGCTAACCTCAGTGCACTGCAGAATAGCCAGTAAAGTCAGCGTGTGTTGAATTCAACTGATACCACAACAGAAATTAAGATACCTTGCAGTTCTACAGTGCTGTGTGCACCTATTTTTATTAGAACTGTTCAGTTGGAAAAGGGCCTACAAAGGCCATGTCCACCTGCCTGACCTCTCTAGGGCCATTATTCTCATAGCTCTTGAACATGGACAGGCGTGAGGCATCAACACCTTGCTCGTAAGCCTGTTCCAGTGTTTGACCATGCTTGCAGAAAATAAATACTTCTAATTCCCAGTCCTTTCCTTCCACAGCCTTGGGCTGTCCCCTTGCACTTGAACAGTGGTATCATTGCCTCATTTGACTAGCTGGCTGTGTTGGATTTAATGCTCACCAAACTGTGGTTTTGCCCTCTTGGCTGCCAGGGCATCAGCACAGCTTCCAGTAAAATCTCTCCAAAATAGGAATCATTAAGGTGTCCAGAGAAAGTCAAAAGCCACATCAAAATGTGTTCTTTAAAAACTGTCACAGGAGATTAAAAAATACATATATACATTTGGCTGAAAACATGCCTCTATGCTGTAAGCTGCCAAAGGAAGGCCTAGCACTACAAACTACTAAAATGCAGTAAAATTCAAGGTCCCACTCATAAATCCGCTGGCGGAGGAAAGATATGGCTTCTAAATAGTATAATGGTGTTACCATCTACCAAGCTTAATTTTATCAAATATGGACTTCTAAATCTTATCTTGAAGTTGAAATCACGTTATAAAAATACACTTGATAGCAAGCAGTTGTTCTTCTGGCAGATGATTTTTAATCTTGAGAAATACAGACCTGTATGATCATTTGTATATATATATATTTTTACATTGCTGCAAGGACTTGACAAAACGTACGTGGTCTTTCTGGGTCTGTGCTTTGGTTTATGCATAGTTTAAAAAAAAAAAAAACACCTGTAAGCTGATAATCTGTGATCAGGAAACATCTGTGAGGCTGTTTTAAGATAATTTAAGAGGAGCTGCTGAATGCATGAGTTCTGCATTCTGTCTTACACAAGTCATTCGGTAGAGCTGGGGTTTGCTATCAAAGTTGAAGGTGGAAAAAATGATTTCGGAAAACTTGAGGGCATTTTCTGCTTTAAAAATCAAAACCTCCTACTAGTGTGATGAGGTAGGATGATGAATGTGTGTGCCACTACTTCTTACACTGTTCTATTACAGATCTATGCACTGAGAGGCCCCCAAAATGTCCAGTTCTAGTCATGCTGCAGATCAGGTGCCTCTTCCTCTTTTTTTGTCACTGTCCTAAAAAAAGAAAGAACCATAAGTAAGTTCCCTACGTTTAAAAATGAGTCAAATTAATTGAGTCCAGTATAGGAAGTGTTCTTGCTTAAGGTAGGCTGAACACAAGTTGTTATTTCAATCACTGTGG